ACTGATAGACCTTCCAAGACCAGTCGGATCATGGTCGGCAGTTCTCGGAAATTTTATGTCATTCTCGAAGCCCAGTCGGATCATGGTCGGTATTTCTCGGAAATTTTAGTAAGTTTATTACAATGTTCAATTGCACGAACAAAAACTCGTTGGATCACGTCCGGTACTTCTCTAAATTTTAGTTTATCCAAAATCTCTGACCTTTGGATACCAGCCGGAAAAATGATCATTAATTTTCGCACATGCTCGTGGGCTTGTTCTTATTAGAATTTCTCATCTCATACCGGGCAATTTGTATTAACAATTTCATCTTTAACGTAAGACATTGTTTTCTTAGAGATCGATTTATTGATATAACAACTTACTTCCAAATCAGTTTATATCTGATACTCATCGTTATATTAGTAGTATTTGTGTATTTGTCATATTATGATATACTGGTGGAGTAGCTTTCTCGCCAGAACGTCATTTCCACTGGCCCTGTATATGAGAGAAAGGTTGTATGCTGCCTCTCGATGAAGATCATGCTTCTGGGATATCTAATGACGCATACAATAAAACACCATCAGCTGTAAGAAAAATCTCATTGGGTGACAAAAATCTTGTTGCCTAGCAAAAATCTCATTGGGTGACAAAAATCTTGTTGCCTAGCAAAAATCTCATTGGGTGACAAAAATCTTGTTGCCTAGCAAAAATCTCATTGCGTGACAAAAATCTTGTTGCCTAGCAAAAATCTCATTGGGTGACAAAAATCTCGTTGCCTAGCAAAAATCTCATTGCGTGACAAAAATCTCGTTGCCTAGCAAAAATCTCATTGCGTGACAAAAATCTTGTTGCCTAGCAAAAACCTCATTGGGTGAGGTAAGGTAAGACCCCTTTACTAAGGTCGAGGTGCTCTTTTCATTCCTGGTGTTCATCTTGACACAACTGTGACCTGCAACCGACCTTTGGTCTTGGTCTGTGGCCTTAGTCGCGCATACTGTTTGACATTCTCCTCGTTTAAATTTCATCCTGGCATTTGAGCTGTTTCTTTATCCACTCATAAAAACTTGTCATCGCTAATCATCACCGCAAAGTTCAGCAGTGRCGCAGCTCAAGAGGGTCAAACTGAAAGCATGTCATACTTAGCTTATATCCAAGAGAGAAAAATAGGAAAGAATTGTGAAAGTCTAAAACTAACCTGAACGTTTCCATCATTTTCCTTTGAGGCGAGATGGTATGGGAACTCCAGTGCTTTTTGATAATAATGTACAGCAAAATGAGTAAGACCTGTGGAAGACAATACAATGAAACATTATGAAGGACTGAACCTCCAAGAAATGTCACTAAAATRTCGCAGTATGAACGTGCCGTAGCGTGACAGTAACGGTGTACAGGAGCATTTTCATTGGTGGAGCAGTAAACAATACAATGAAAMATTTTGAAGGATTGACCCTCCAAGAAATGTCACTGAGAAAAATATCGCAGCATGAGCGTGCCCTAGCGTAACAGTAACGGTGCCGTGTACAGGAGTACAGTACAGTACAGTACAGGAGTCGTGTAATTGGTTGAGCAGTAAACAATACAATGAAACTTTTTGAAAGACTGATCCTCTAACAGGATGGAAAGGATTATATCTAAGTTAGATTCTAGAGCAAATTGTGTTGAAAAAAATACCAGTGTGAAAATACTTGCAGTACGAAGTTACCATGTCGTGACGGTGCCGCGTGCGAGCATTTTCATTGGCTAAGAAGTGATCTCTTATGCAGTGATTGGCTTAAAGTATGACCATGTGCCGTGACTGTGACGCAAACCAAACGGTCACAATAAAGAATTTACGTCATTCAGTATTGACCAAATCACAGCGCGCGAGGTTTTCTTACCTAAGTGATGAAATCCTCGGCCAATATTATAATAAGCTTCTTGACATTCTCCTCTTAAAGCAAGATATTGGAAAAGGAAAATAATGCCCTGAAGTAAAAAATATTACAGTAAAATTATGAAATTAATTGATTGATCTCGTCCTGTTCCTCTTCGATGGATGGATGGATGGATGGATGGATGGATGGATGGATGGATGGATGGATG